TGAAAGGAACTTGAGAGAACATCTAGTTCATATCTCAATGTCAAGTCCAAATTCACACTTTTTTCAACAAGTGAGAGTCCCATTAGGTGTCTTTAAGACCACCGCAGCACCACTTTCAACAATCTCCCTCAAGACAGCATTTCCTAAATTCCAATTTCCAGACTTAAAATGAATCATCAAGATAGGTCCCCATGATCTACTTTTAAAAATATTTCCAAATTAATTATTTGTACAACCTCTACTATTTTATTGCTAAATAATAAGACCTGTTAAAATACTTTTATTGCTAAGATCATTCAAAAATCAGAAGACCCCTGAGACCCAATAGAACAAGTGTTTAAAAATCAGAATCTCCTGTTAAATAGAAGATGTCAGCGCTAAAAGCTTCCTTGCTTCATAAATAGACATTTTAAACCCTTCTTTTTCCACTTTCAGATAAAATCTTTGGCAAGAAAATAGGTATTTTCTGTGCTTTCCAAAGCAATCACATCCAAATTTATTTTCTTTTTTCTTCAAAGGTAATCAGACATCACACTAAATACAGATTGCCTGGGTTTTCCAAAGCTTAGTGTACTAACTGGATTAATAAGATCTCCAGTCTTCATGACAAAACACACAGATTTTCCACACAAGCCCAGCTTGCATGCACTTTTACTGAAATTATCATTTTGAAATGATGAGGTTTTTTTCCTCTGGACAGACCAAGTTCCTCAGAGTTGAAGGAACAAAAACAAAATCATTTTCTTAAGTTATACCTTTTTGACCCTCTTTAATAAAATTGGCTATCTCCTTTACACATTTTTCTCTTTATTATTAGATCTGAATCCACTAAGAAAGCTATTCATTCTCATGCTACTGAGTCACCTTTAATGAACACATTTTATGGAATACTTAGGACCCAATGTGGACAGCAGACAAAAGTCTGCCCACCTTCCATGAGTTGGGTAAATATTCATTTTTGAAAGTTACTATGATACTTTTTTGCCTCAGAAATTGTAGCTCAGAATATATTAGCACATCAATTTTGTTGATTTTTAACAATAATCCTATAAGGTGAGTAGAATATATATATATATATATATATATATATATATATATATATTCCAATTTTACAGTAGAAGGTACTAAGACTCAGAAATTCACTAAAATGTTAGCTCAGGACACTCATGTTAAGTCCAGATCCTCTTACAATACAGTAAGATGACTCATGTCTACTTTCCCTATTTAAACAAATCAATCAAGATTTCCCAGGTGGCCTGTGGTCAAAGTTTCTAGATTTCTTCACCTTACTTTGCCTCCTTCCAAATTCCACTTAAATCCAATTTGGCCCCTTTCATTGATGCAGATAATGAACTATCCAGAATGGAATTAGAATAAAATATATAAAAAATACAAAGAGAGTCTGATATTTAATTTAAACCTCATTTTAGCCCTCAATTCTTACATGTTAAATTGAGTATTAAATTGCAACAACTATGTTCTTCTAAATTGTTAGTGAGTAATGGAATACTGAACCTTGTAACACAAAGAATACATCACTGTAAATTCACAAACAAGATGTCCAGAGCCTTAATGACATTCAAATGTAAATAATAGGCAAAGGAAATACTCTGCTATTTACAAATGAACACTCACTCTCTATCTCTTATGTACCTAATGAGAAAGAAATGTCTTTCTGGTTTTGGTTATAATTTTGTTTATTTGTTTATCTGACTGACCCAACATTGAGTTTTCTTTTGATTTTATACTTTCCCAAGGGAGAGAAGATGGACCTTGCACACTTTTAAAATTACTTTCACTGTATAAAAAAAAAATCCTCTAAAAGTAAATATTTTTTTATCTAATTAATTTCTCCAGCCTAATGTCTGGATAGAAGTATCTTATCAATTCTGCCAAATGTGGTCTGTTTTAACACAAAATTAAGAGAAATTATTGACTTATGAAATTCAATTATTCCTTATGATTCTTTAGCAAATGTTGAAAACTTACTGGGATTTTCAATCCAATCTTGAGTTTCCCCTGAACTTTTGTAAACAACAACTGTTTTACCACTGAGAAAAAAGCAGAAATTATAGAACCTGATAATTGGATTGATTTTGAAAAAGTAGGGTTTCCTTATAGATAGATGAAAGATTCATAAAGGGAACCACCTCTCTGGAGTGTCAGGGCCTTAATTCAAGAAACTTTAAACTGTTTCCTCAATATGAAGGTCCTCGAGTTACTCTGCTCTTGGGACACTTCCATCTCCCCATTCCGAGCTGAATAGACCTGAAATTATCTGGTTAACTTCAAGAAACATTTCTGGGCCTCCCCTGGTGGCGCAGTGGTTGAGCGCAGAGCTGGTTCGTTCCCTGGCCTCTGGCGAGGGTCCCACCAAAAAAAAAAAAAAAGAAAGATTTCTATTGCTAGAATTGAGATCACAACTACGGAGAAGGGTAAGGTAGCCAGTAAGGTCCCAACCAACCCAGTCTTCTTGTAGGTAGTAGAAGAAAGAAAACATGCAGATACCACAAACCAGAACTGTGAGCATTAGCCACATCTGGATACTAAGCCCTTGAGATATGGCTGGTGCAAATGCAGATGTGCTGCAGGCAGAGCACAAGTGCTACATTTCCAAGTCTCTGTATGAGAAAAGAATGCAAATATTCCATTAATTTTTATGATTACTTATTGAAATGACAATGTTTTGACACATTAGTTCAGGTTGAATATTTGTTAAAATCAATTTCACCCATTTATGTTTACTTTTAAAATGTATCCATTAGACAATCTTAAATTGTATATATGGTTCACATTGTATTTTTATTGGACAGGGCCACTCAGGAGTTAGGAAAACTTTTTCAAAAAGGGGTTAGATTGTAAATATTTTGGGCTTTACGAGCCATATTGTCTCTGTGGCAACAACTACACTTGCTGTTATAGGAAAAGCAGCCATAGGCAGTAAGAAAACAAATCAGCATGGCTGTATTCTAACACAACTTCATTTGCAAAACCAGGTGGTGGGCCCCAGGGTGCAAAGTTTGCTACTATCTGCTCTAAAACATAACCAGCATTTTTTTTAATTAACATGTTATTTTTCAACAATCTGTTTTTATTTAGCAGCCTTAATGAGTGACTAATCAGTAAAGAAAAATGTGATCTCCTGTCTCCTTTGGATATGGAGGAAGCACACAGTTAATTTTTCAGGGCAGTCCTGGCCTCCTTTGTCCCACAAGAGTCTGATTTTCATCTCACCCTCATCACCATCTCTGATGTCAAGTCACCCATCAGGATCAGTTCACCCACTTCTCTTCCTCGTGGTGACAGAAAATACTCTGCCAAGCTTTTCCCCTAGAAGGAAACTGGAAGGGTGTCTCACAAAAAGCCTAAGTTTTTCTTAGGAGCCAGTTTCTCTTTCGAGCCAGTACCAATGATGTGATTTACAAATGAGCACCATTTCGAAAGTCACAGTACCTCTCTTCATAGTCTGAACCTGAAGCTCAAAGCTGCCTTTGAATGTTGTGACACCACCGATGGCAAATGACTTTGTAAGGACATTCTGGAGTTCCTGAGACAAATTGCAGAACCATTCAATAATCAAATCATTAAACCAGAGAAGTTCCAAAGAGGGGGAATAATGCCTGAAATGACTTGAGTCTCAAAGGCCATGTGAATGAAGGAAATAATGTAGATGATAGATCTTAAGGAGAGTCCTGAGATCTTAAAGAGAGTCCACCATTAAATACCATAACAAGAAATGCACTGGTGCTGGTTGACTTTCTTAGAATCTTATTTAAAAACAAGGGCTCACTTGCTCAACCAACCAGATCTGAAAAATCCCTACCAGTCTTGAAATCTGTTATCATTATTGATATGCTACCACAGAGGGCAAACTTTGCCACATTAAACATATCTTAATAACTCCTTTGATAGGAGAAAGAGGTAAGGCCTGTGAGCCTCGGCCTGTGCCTACAGCTGGCATTTCAGAAGCCTCTACATTGATAGCATGTTTTTTTTTCTTTATAGAATGATCATCATTGAATTAGACACATTTATTTTTACTAATACATTCACAACCTCATCCATGTCTTCCTAGTTGAATGAAACTAATATTTGCACAGTAAACTCTACAGAAAATCAAAATTTCCCCCAAATGGCAAAGCAACAAGTGAGGACAGAAGGTAAATTGCCTGAGTGCTTCCTCATATCATTTCCCTACTTATTTTAAACAGAAGGATCAATTTACTACTTTAGAAAATAAGCAAAACTAATCATTAGTAATATTAATCATTGTCAGTTTATTTTCTCTCCTTTTTTTTTTTTATTTAGTTAAGTGCTGACATGTATAAGCTTTAAGTAAACTGAATGTCCATTTGGATTTTATTGCTTGTTACAAACCCTCAAACTACAGCAATAGTCACAGTTTATGTAAGAAACTGCAAAATCTATGTGAATTTTGGAGCTCACTGTGATAGATGTGCTAGTTGCCTTACAGGACCTGACCTGGGGGATCTTGCATGTTGTGTGGATCACAGTAGCCGTGGGATACAGTGCCCAGTCCCCATGTACTCCACCCTCGGGGTCACCACAGCTTGGCTTATTTGCCATGCACATCCATATCGACCTTCTTTAGGAAGTAAACCCCAAAAGAGAGAAGTCTACAGTTAGATATACAACGCATCTGTTTTTTTTTTAAGTCTGTCCTCTACCACAGCAGCCCCACAGTGGACCTAGAACTGAGCTGGAATGGAACACCAGAGCAGTGTCACCCCGTCCCTCCCTGAGTTGCTGGTAACTAGTAAGTCAATTGGTCATTTCTCTCAGTGAGCCTGGCCTCTTGTCCACAGTTAGTTGTGGTTAAATGCATATTTTACAATTTATTTCAGTGTTCAACAGACATTTATGAGCACTTGCTATTTACCAACAGGGAAAGTGTAAGATACTCATGTCTTCAATGTGGGAGTTATTCTAGGAACTCCTAGTTGTCATCCTATACAATTCAATATTTACCAATGCTGACTTCCTGTGACTTCCCTGCTGACTTTCCAATCTCACTTCTTGTTGATGGTGTTTTATGGTTTCTAGCTCCTTCATTCACTGGGTAACAAGCATTCCCTGAGTCACTGTTCTGCATCAGACAACACAACAGGCTCCTGAAACACAAAGTACACAAGATAAAATTTTGTTCTCTTAGATTCCCAGGGCAATAACGCAGGTAGGCATATACAAAATTAATTTTTTGTGGCATGGCAATGTCTTATAACAAAGGTGTGGAAAATATAATAAAGGTGTGGAGAGGTAGAAACCACAACTAAGATTTGAGCAACTCCTGTCTAAAGGGAGTATTCCCGAGCCAGGTTCTGGGTGAGCTTGGCCCAGAGGATGCACTGGAGATTGTCAGAAGGAAAAAGTGACAAAGGCAAAGCCTGTCATCCCAGGCAGGGAGGAGGCCAATAAGCTTTACCAGGAGCTAGAAGGGCAGCAGGGAGGAGGGTAGAATTGGCCTTTACCTGGTAAATTTAACATAGTATATACAGAGGTTGATTCATAATGATGCACACCTAAATTTTATATAGTATTATTATGCAATTCTACCTCAACACACACACACACACATAAAAAAAAAAAAACTTTTAAAAAGTACCTATAAAGAGAGTTTTGTCAAATGAACTGCTTTTTTTAAATATCTATTCTGACCCTAGAATTTTTCCAGTAATCCAGTTGCTGAATAAAATTAGAAAAATCATAAGTTAACTATTTCTATGTCTGGCATTTTTACTTTAAAGATAACCTACTTTTTAAAAAAAATTCTGTTAAAAAACTATATTCTTCCTTTGAAATTGTATCACGTGAGCAGGGCTTGTCTTTCAGCCACCCTCAGTCCTTCTCCCTTTCTTCCTCTTAAGTATCTGTCTACCTCTTTGTCTGCTGACATTATACCACTTATGTGATCATATTCCTCTGAGCAATAGGAAGACTCTGCCCTGCCCATTGATTGCAACCCACAAAACTGCTTTCTAGTTCAAAACTGTGTCATGGAATAGCAAAACACACTCTGAGGGCTCAGCAGGGCCAGGATTCCTTTTCAATCAACGGTATCAGTTTGCTAGCCTGAGACCTTGGCTGTCCTCGTCAATAGTCACAGTCTTTCATAATGCAAGAGGTCACTGCTGGCCTGGCCATGTGCTCACAAGCATGGAGAAGTGGAGGGAGATACAAGTGGGTACCTGTGGGTCCTGTTTTTTGTCCTCCATAAAACCAAGCCAGGCATGTTTGGGTGTCCTTTACTGTCTGCTATTACCATGTATACTCAAAGCATGTGTTCAGATCTCCTAAGGTGCAGGATTTAAAAAAAAAGAAATTATAATGCACAAAAGTACTCTTTAACCTTAGTTCCATTCATCTGAGAACCTCTGTAAGGAAACCCCAACGAGGGTCCTCCAGAGCCACTAGCCCCAGTGGGCAGGGAGTGAAAGTGGAGTAGAGACAGGGATCAGGTAATGGTGGTGCATCTCAGTTTGGAGAGGTTTTCTATTGCTGACACACATGAAATGGCATTTCTCAGCTGATCCTAGCATGTCATGAGATACAACATTTGTATTAGCTGTACTGTACTTCTGAAATGCCTAGAAGACATTTCAGGCTGTTGGGTCTTCCAAAGTCCGTAGGTCATGAGTAGCGCAGTCTAAGGGTCTAGGAGTGCCAGCGTTTACTTGGGAAGCTTAAATTTTAAAATCATATAGGTCAGAATATTTCGAACCCGACACATAGAATCATCAGAGGAACTTAAAAATAATAAATACATAGGCCATTTCTCACACTAGACCCATGTAATATACTTGACCCTTGAACAATATGGGTTTGAATTTTAAGGGTCCACTTATAAATGAACTTTATTATATACAGAAACTGTAAAGTTATTGTATCAATAAATATAGTGCAGTACTATGAATGCATTTTCCCCTCCTTATGATTTTCTTAATAACATTTTCTTTTCTCTAACTGATTTTATTGTAAGAATATAGTATAGGCCTCGCTCGAGGCGCAAGGGGTTAAGCACAGCACTGTGAAACTGTCCAAAGCCTGTGCAGCACAAGTTTGATCCCCAGCCAGGGAAATACCCACATGGCCCAGCAGACCTCTCCTGTCTCCTCCGCTGCTCCCCTCAGCAGTGTATTTCCATCAGTCTGCTTGTTATGCTCCCCACTCTGTCTCTAGTGAATCCTCTCACCCCCAACACCTCTGGCCTGTACCCCAGTTCTTGTATACACAAATAAATAAATCTCAAAAAAATTAAAAAATAAGAATATAGTATATAGTGCATATAACATACAAAATACATAATTAGCTATTTATGCTATGTTAAGACAAGCTATTAGTAACTAAGCATTTGCTTAAGTTAAACAGGGTCCTGCTCAGCATACCCAATTCTTGCATTGCTCAAGGGTCAACTGTACATAGGTGAGGGTGAGTCTATACGTGCTACATTCAATAACAGCAAAGAGAATTCATCCCTACCAAATTGAAGGTCTCATTTCTCCTGCTGTCATCTTTGTGGTGTCATGTAATAACTCTACCCCTGTCAACAGAGTCTCCAGAACTGAAGCCAGAAAATCTGTCTTTCAAAAAAAAATACCTGTGCCAATTCTGACACTGCCACTGAGTTAACACCTTAAATATTCCACTCAGGATGGACATGAATCAAGAGATGTGTTTCATTGGGATGGGAGTTGAAACCATCCCTTTTCTGGAACACTCCAAACCTGAACACTTACCTGAGAGACCCAGCAGGCTTTTCTAGGACCACTTCAGAATTTGCTAGCCATTGACAGCTGAGAAACTATAGCTGGTTCCAGCAAAGCCACCAGATTGATTGCCTTTATAGATGGTTCCCTGGTTCAACTTATTGACGGTGCAAAAGCAATACACATGCAGTAGAAACTGTCCTTTACATCTTGAACTTCCACCTTTTTCTGTCTGGCAATAAGCAGTAGCATCCCCTCTTGTGATGCTGAGCAGCAAGCAGAGAGCCACTGCTCCCAACCAGTCACAGAATCGTGAAAGGAAATGACCAGTGATCACCACACTACAGGCTCTTTCACTCTCCATACAGTACTCAGTAAATCACATGAGCTATTCAACACTTTATTATAAAATTGGCTCTGTATTAGATTTTGCTCAACTGTAGTTTAATATAGGTATTCTGCATACAGTTAAGGTAGGCTAGGCTAAGCTATGATGTTCAGTAAATTGGTGTATTAAACCCATTTTCTACTTAATGATATTTTCAATTACAATGAGTTTATCAGGATGTTAACCCATTGTAAGTTGAGGAAGATGTACTTAGCAGTAGGACAAGTTCTATAAACAAGTAAAGTGGGTCAAACTTGTACCTTAAGTGCAAATGGAGCTCCTGAAAATGTTAGGTTCTGGGAGAGATCCAATAACCCCTTTGGAGCCTTGTGTGATGCTGGCTCTGGCCCACTCTATGCTCTTAAGATGAACCTTCATCTTCTGCAAGGCAGACCCCTGTTACTACGAGACTTGAGGTTTTTGAACTGGCCAAACCACAGATTCTCTAATACCTGGTATACACTTTCAAAGGCATTATTCAAGGGTAAGGGTTTGCTTTGGTAGATGTGGGGCAGAATGAAGTGAGGTACTCATAAAAACCCAAGTGCTAAGAGACTCAGGCATGAAAATAATGGAGCCCATTACTTGTGTAAATAATCCCGCAAGGGCCCCCAAAATACATGTCACCTTTGATCTTCAGGTAAAACAATGATAACAAATAATAAATTTTCACCTAAGGATGTCAAAGTGTACAAAATATTTTATATACAGTCTCTATATTTCTAGAAGCATACTCAGCACCCACTGCTTATAGAGGTTGCATAACCTATGTAAGGTTTTACAGCTAATAAGGACCAGAGTCCAAACCCAAGAAAAACAGAACTACATTTTAAAAGAAATCTAGGTTCTGTGTTCTTGTAAGGAAAACAACTGAAGAGGAATCAGTCACTTCACTCAATTTATTACTAATTGTACTTTGAAGATTTTTGCTTAAAGTAAATACATTCAGAAATTCTTATCATCTCAGGAAATACACAGTCTTGTGGTTCTTATAGCCTTTTCCACAAGGGACATCTTCAATCCCTTTTAGCTATCATGTATAGGGTACCTATTGGGTGCCACCAACTACTTAATTTCATGGAATCCTAAATACTTAATTTTAAAAACTACTCAAAAGACCATTTGCAAAAGGACCCTATTAAACTCTCTCAAATCCAAGTTTCAACCTTGTCTTAACAATAAAGAAGGTGAGACCACAGACCATCCTTGAAATGAAGCCCCATGATAGGAAGGAATTGGGGAGGGTAGCTGTGCAACTCTTTTGGTGACAACTTATCAACTCTCAGTAAATGTACATCCACATTCCCACTGATTCATGCTCATATCATAAAAGTGTATTTCAGTAACACATATAAAGAGCCATTGTGCATAATACCGCAGCTCATTATTTTGCTATAATCACCTTCTGGTCTTGTCTTCACACTGTCCCAGATAAATCTACCCATGGCCATGGGTAGCACTTGTTAGACTTAGCACATTCCTGAGCCTAAAAATGTCTCCATCAAACAATAAATAACAATAATTAATCAAGTTGCTCAGTATTTATTTAAATGTAGCAAATAAAGAATCATCTTTGTACATAGGCCCAGGCTGGACAGAAATTCATTAATAGCATTAATTATGGTAATAATATTAATTCAGCACATTTACTATTTCAGGAACTGTGACAAGTTCTGTAAAATTCTATGAATGCAATTTAATTTCATGTCCTCCTATTAACTCTGTGAGCTAGCTGCTAATAATAGCTCCACTTTTCAGAGTCAGGGACGCTAAGGGCTAAGTGAATCACACGTGGTCACATGGTAGCTAAGAGCTGCTTGAAGTTCAGAAAGAGTCAACAAAATCCATGCTCTAAACAACTATGCTGTTATACCTGGGAAGGAAAAGTTCAAATTGATAAGCTTTTCCTTAAATATCACTTCCTTAACTATTTCTCAGGACACTATTTCTCAATTTCCAAATCCATAAAATTTATGCTTGTAATTACACTAGCACACTTTATTTTGTATGACTATTACATCCCACTTCCAATCTGCCTGTTGGAGAAACATTCCCTGTAATGTTTCAGCATGTCTTGGTTCCAACAAATAAGATAATTATATGAGGGGGAAGAAAGGAGTCATGTAGGCAAATGGTAACTAAAGCCTTTAAAAAACCCTCAAAAACTTTCATGCCCAAATGTTGGTTCAGATTGTAGAAACAAATCCCTGAGGAAGTACCAAGAAAAATTCAGCTTCACTTTGTTTCCTGAGAAAATACAACTTTCATCAAACATTAAAGCTATTTGGAATAAGAATCCATTCCAGTGGGTTAAGACATTTATAAGGTCTGTTTAAGTTAAAATTTAAATGTAATAAAAGTATGATACAGAATTAAAGATGAGATACTTAAAGATGATTTCTCAGGAAAATGTTCAAGAAACATAAAATTATAGGTGACTCATACCTCCAACTCTAAAGACTAAAAAGAGGTCCATGGGCAAACAGAACATTATATGAAATTCTTGCAGTGTTCATGGGCTTTGTTAATTTGAAAAAAAAAAAAAAAAAGTCTTACTCATTTCTGCTCATCAGTTAGAAGCTTCAGAGTTTTGTGGTTGTCAGAAGCTATACAGCAAACCTAAAACACAAAATCAATTTGTGTTGTAGAGGTTTTTTGGTCTTTCTTTGAAAATAAAACCAAACCACAACATTTCTTCAGATTCTTCAGGCTACATAGTCTTATTAGAAACCAAGGCCAAAGTTTTCTTATATAATTGGATACAAAAATTGTTATGGGGAATGATATACATATACCAGTCTTTACCCAGTGCCAAAATAGCAAGAAGAAATTTACATGATTTGTTTGGTCTTTTGTATCCAAAGGCTCTGCTCATCCCATTGCCTCTGTTAAGAGGGGACACTGTCTCCTAATAGGTCCCCCTCCAGCAATTGACAATCAGAACACTCTTAGCTGTAGCCTACCTGCCTCAGTGGAATAGGCACTAATAACTTTGGCATGACCTCCAAGGCCTATCACCAGGGGCTTCCAACACATGTTGTAGCCTAACATGTGGTTGTTGACTTTGTTAATGACATGCAATATTTAACATCACTATGTTTTAAGTACTTAAATTACAAATGCCTTATTTGGTTCCCATAGACATCAGGGGAGAAAAATAATAACAATACAAAGCACAACAAAACAAAACAAAAACAAACAGGCAATTACAAACCAAAGGCATCCTACAGAGGGGGAGGAGGGAGAGGAGTATAGGGAAGGAAGGAGGAGCACAGGCGACTATGGTGATTCACAGGCAAAGGTGAATTGGTGAAGGAAATTCTATGGGGACTATACCTGAGGGGTGCAGGGAAGCAAACATTGTTTAAAAATGAACAATGATATAAAATATATATAAATGAAAAAAATTACAAATGATTTAATTCACATAATGTTTCAGATCCTCCAGGTCCTGTACCACGTGGATTTTATGTTAGTCAAAGATGTTTTTGGATTCCTGCAGCTGCCTCTGTGTAAGCATTGTGAGCCACCCTCTGTGACACTAGGAAACTTAACATGAATTTGAATCCTTTAAAACTCCAGGGTCCACCTGCACACCTTACTTTCCCTTTCTTCCTTGAAGAGGCCTAGACTTTACTAAAATTTCTCCAAGAGTAATTATTTAAATTTGACAAAGGCAAGGGGTCAAGTGCCCCAATGATAAAAGTTTACAGTAATGAAAACTACAGGAGTTCTTCTTGTAGGAGATATTTTCACCACCGAGCTGCTTGCTGTGTATCTACATCTTCCATTGTGGGAGGTGCAAGTAATTGACAACAGATTCATTCTCAGGTCTTTCTGGAGTGTTTTCCTACCCTGCAGTAGCTGTGACTAAAGCTACATTTCCCAGACTCCTTGTCAGCTAAAGGTACAGATAATGTAAAATGTCACTGTGAGTTTAAAGGTGTGATGAAGTAAAGGAGAGATTGGCGTCTCTTATCTTTTTTTCTACTGGAACAAGATTTTAGGGATATGAAGTTTTCTTTGTGGTCAGTTTCTTGGGAATTAAGAGGCAATTGAAGTTGAGAGAGGAAGCAGATTCTACTTTCAAGTGACTATATAAGGCATCAAACTACCTTTCTGAATAAAGTCAGGGACATTTTCTAGGCATTATTTCCAGAGTCCTAGCCTGGAGTCTACTTCTCCTGCCCTTGAGTGACCATCCAAGTCTCTAAAATATAGTCATTTGTCACACTACTGAAAGGCCACTGGATCAATGAGGAAATCAAAGAAGTCAAAAGAAATGCCTTGAGACAAATGACAAGGAGGCAATAACCTTCCAGAACTTACAGCAAAGCAATACTAAGAGGGAAGTATATAGCGATTCAGGCTTACATCAATAAATAAGAAGGAGCTGAAATAAATAACCATGACTTTCATCTCAAGAAACTAGAAAAAGAAGAACAAAAAAAAATGCAAAAGCTAGGAGAAGAAAGAAAATAACAAAAATTACAGCAGAAATAAATTAGATTTCAAAAGACATTAAAAAAATCAACTAAACCAGGGTCTCCCCAGTGGTGCAGCGGGTTGAGCCCAGCTCTGTAAAGATGTCTGCAGCCTCTGCAGTGCTGGTTTGATTCCTGGCCAGCCAGGGAGATTCCCACATGTCACGGCAGACCCCTCCTGTCTCGCCCGCTGCACTCCTCAGCAGTGTATTTCAGTCCTTCTGCCTGTTCTGCTCCCAGCTCTGGCTCTTGTGAATCCTCTCATCCTCACACGCCTCTGGCCTGTACCCCAGCACTTGTATAAAAATAAATAAATCTCAAAAAAAATCAACAAAATGAAAAACTTATTCTTTGAAAAAATAAAATAGACAAACTTCTGGCTAGGCTCAGTAAGAAAAAATGGGAGAAAACTCAAATAAACAGGATCAGAAACAAAAAGGAGAAGTTACAAAAGACAATATAGAAAATCAGGGAATAATGAAAGACTACCATGAACATCTATATGTAACAAGTTCACTAACCTAAAAAAGACAGATAAAATCTTAAAATTACATTACTATCTGAGACTATAGGGAAGACACAGAAAACCAAAACAGACTAATCACATTCACTGAAATTGAAATAGTAATCAAAACTTTACCCAAAAATGAAAATCAGAAAACACATGACTTCCCAAGTGAGTTCTACTAAACTTTCAAAAATGAAGTAACACCTATTCTGCTCAAATTCTTTCAAAAAATTGGAGAGAGTAGGAATACTTCCAAACACATTTTTATGAGGCCAATATTATACTCAGAACAGAACCAAATAAAGACAACACAGAACAATTAAAATTACTAAGTAACCTCCCTAATGAACATAGATGCCAAAATCCTCAATAAATTCTTAACAACCCAAATCCAAAAATGCATAAGAAGAATTAAACATCATGACCAAGTGGGATTTATACCAAGAATACAAGGATAGTTCAACATCTTAAAATCAATCAAAAAAACTTACCACATCAAGAAAAAGAAAGATAAAAAAATATGATCCTATCAAAACATGCCAAGAGAGCATTTGATAAGATTCAGCATCCATTTATGATAAAACCCTTAAAAAACTAGGCATAAATGAAACATATCATGACATGATAAAAGTCATATATAACAAACACTAGGTAGCATCATTCTCAATGATGAGAAACTGAAAGCCTCTCCACTGATATCAGGTACAAGACAAGGATATCCACTCTCAGCACTACAGTCAATAGTATACTGAAAGTCCTAGCTAGAGCAATTTGATAAGAGAAAGATAAAAGGAATCCAAATTGGGAAAGAAGTACACCTATCATAATTGGGAAAATGACATGATATACATAGAAAACCCTAAAGAATCCATGGAATAACTAATAAAACCAGTTCAGCAGAGTGGCAAGATACAAAAATCAATACACAAAAATCAACTATCTTCTTATATTAAAAACCATGAGCTAGTAGAAGAAATTAAGAAAACCATACCATTTACAAACAAAACACACACACACACACATTAAATACCTAGGAGTACACTTAACAAAGGAGGTGAAGAACCTTCATCAGGAAAACTGTAAAACATTGTTAAAAGAAATGGAAGAATACACAAAGAAATGAAAAGACATTCTCTGCTCATGGATAGTGAAAATCAACTTTGTCAAAATGACCATCATATATGCAAAACAATTTACAGATTCAATACAATTAAAATAAAAATTTCAATGACATTTTTCAGAGAAATGGAACAAATATTACTGAAATTCCTATGGAACCACAAAAGACCCCAAATAGCCAAATCTCTCCTTACAAGAAAAGGGGGGGAAGGGGTACTTCAAACTAAACTGTAAAGCAATAACAATTTAAATAGCAAAGTACTGGAACAAAAATAGACACAAAGACAAATTGAATAGAATTGAGAGCCCAGAAATAAATAAGATTCAACATCCATTTATGATGAAACCCTTAAAAACTAGGCATAAATGAAACATATCTTTTCATGATAAAAGTAATATATGACCAACTCATACATATGCAGACAACTAATCTACAACACAGGAGTGAATAATATACATTGGAAAAAGGAAAGTCTCTTCAACAAACAGTGTTAGGAAAATTGGACTACCACATGTAAAAAATGAGAGTAAACCACTGTCTCACACCCTACATGAAAATCAATTCAAAATGGATAAAAAACTCAGATGTAAAGGATGAAACCATAAAATACATAGAATAAAATGTAGGCAAACATTCCATGATGTAAGTTTCAGAGATTTCTTTGTGGATTTGTCCCTAGCAGCAAGGAAAATAAAAGACAATATAAACAATTGGGCTACCACATCAAACTAAAAATCTGTTAAAATGAAAGTGACCATAACTAAAACAAAGAGTCACCCTACCGAACAGAAGAATATACCACATATATACCACATACATTGAACAAGGGACTTATATCAAGGATTTACAAAGAGTTCACACAATTCAGCAAAAAAATAAATAAATAAATAAATAACACAATCAAAAAATGAGAAGAGGAGCTAAATAGTCACTTTTGCAAAGAAGACAAACAGATGGCCAACAAGCACACGACAAAATCTTCATCATCACTTATCAACAGGAAAATTCAAATCAAGACCAGAATGAGATACCACCTCAGGCCAGTAAGTCCTCTCAGTTGCTTTTGGAAGAGAGATATTTAGAAAAAAAATGAAGGTTGGGTGCAGTCATGGACAACTGATTCTAAATTAAATATCCTCTGCTCAATCTTACCATTTTATTTTTAAAAAGGAGAAATTAGCACAAGTTCATTTAATGTCTTGCAAGATCCAAGCCAGAAATAATTCTATAATCCTAAAGGATCACTCCTATTTAATGCTCCTATTTAAGCCTTCAAGCAGCTCTTTAAATGCATGTGCCTTTATCTTAAAGTTTTACTTTCTTTCATCTTTCTCTAGGCATTTGATTTTGGAGTCTGCATAATGCATATGACTTTTCTTCTAAATTCTCCTTAAAGCTAATCTCTTCTGGGAAGTCCTTCTAGGGATGATGGTCAAACAGAATTCAGATTTTACCTATAAAAATAAGCCAATATTCCATAAATAAAAAGTCATCAAATTAGACTTTT